GGCATGCTAATGAAGCCCTCCATGGGCGCCCGGATTGGTTGAGGCTTTCCCTAGAGGCGAGACCATGCAGGTGAAGGTCGGCGCGCCGTTCGGCGATTGGCTGGGGAGACTGCGGAGCCGCGAGGAAAGGGGGCGGGAAGGCTGCGGGCGGTGCGTCAAGTTCGGCTGCGCTCGGCCGCTTTCGGGACCAATCACGACGCGCTGGGGGGGCCTCGCCGAGGCGGGGCTTCTTAAAGGGCTAGTAGGAAAGGCGGGGACTCCTCCCACCCGCTTTTAAGGCGAGACACCCCACCCCTGCCGGATCAGACAACCGGCTAATCTGGTTCGGGCCCCGCCCCGGTTGCCATGGGGACGGCGGTAGGTTGCTAGGGAAGGAGTTAAGGTGTTGGAGGCAGCCCCCTGCACCCAGGCAAGGTGGGACCTGTTCTCAGCATCCTGCGAAACCTTGCGGGGCAGGAGTTTCCCAGTTACTCAGTGGACTTAGAGCGCTGACGCCCCGCGGTTTCTGACCTGGCTTCTGGATGCAGGGGCTTCTCTGACCCTAAAATCCCCACTCTACCTCCTGACATTGGGGACATTGCCCCATGTCCAGGGCGGAGCCCAGAATGCTGGGAAGCTGGAAGCATATGGAAAAAGATGATGAGAGAGAAAGGAAAGATGTGAGCCTGCAAGGTACGGAGAGGTCTTGGGGAACCCCAGGCAGCAGCGTGGCCCTCTCCACGTGGTCTCGGCTGGAGCTGCCCCTGCTCCCGGGGTGTCAGTGGTGGTCACTGGGTGCTCACCATGCCCATTAGACCCTAAACAATCTGCCTAGTTCCCTCCCAGCCCTCCCGTTCTCCTCTGTCCCCGTCGCTCACTCCGCTCCAGCCGCACAGGCCTCCTTGCTGTTCCTCTAAGTCGCCAGGCATGGTCCTGCCTCAGGGCCTTTGCACTGGCTGTTCCCTCTCCCTGGAATGCCCTTCCCCCAGATATCATCACCTCATTCAGGTCTTTGCTCAAATGTCACCTTCTCCATGAGGCCTCCCAGGACTTGTACCCTGCCCCATATTCCCCCTCTTATTTTCTCTCTGTTTCCTCCATAATCTGCCTGCTTGCTGCATTACTATATTGCTAGCACCTAGAACTGTAGCAACGGTAGGTGCACGATATATAATCACTGAATAAACGAATGAATCCTGTGAATTCCTAAGTGGAAGGTGCAGCTGCAGGGAGTCCCTGAGTGGCACAAATAAGTTACGCACTCAAGTACTAAGCAAAAGGTTGGAGGTTCGAATCCACCCAGAGGCATTTCACAGGACAAGCCCGGCGATCTGCTTCCTCCGAAAGGTCACAGCCTTGAAAACCCTATGAAGCACAGTTCTACTCTCTACACGGGGTCACCATGAGTCAGAATCGACTCAGCCTAGCAACTAACAACAACAGATGCAGCTGCTGTGGAAAACAGCCTGGCAGTTCCCCCAAAGGGTGAAACATGGAGTTACCATGTAGTTGTGAGGTGCCATCAAGTTGGTTCCAACTCACAACGAACCCATGGACAACAGAACGAAGCACTGTCTGGTCCTGCGCCATCCTCACAATCATTGCTATGTTTGAGCTCATTGTTGTAGCCACTGGGTCAGTCCATCTCATTGAGGGTCTTCCTCTCTTTCGCTGACCCTCTGCTTTACCAAGTATGATGTCCTTCTCTAGGGACTTGTCCCTCCTGATGACACGTCCAAAGTACAGGAGACAAAGTCTCACCATCCTCGCTTCTAAGCAGCATTCTAGCGGTACTTCTTCCAAGACAGATGTGTTCGTTCTTCTGGCAGTTACCACATGACCCAGAAATTCCACTCCTAGGTGTCTACCAAGAGAAATGGAAAACCTGTGTCCACACAAAACCTTGCACATGAATGTTCACTGGAGCCCTGTTCACAATCGCCAATGGGTGGACACAACCCAAGCAACCATCAATGGATGATGGATAAACACAAGGTGGTCCATCCCCACAATGGAATACTACTCAGCCGTAAAAAGGAAGGGAATTCTGATTCACGCTAGGACATGGATGAAACCTTGAAAACATCATGCTCGATGAAAGAAGTCAGACATAAAAGACCGCATAGTGTACCATTCCATTTATATTAAATGTACAGAATCCACAGACACATAAAGGAGATTAGTCGGTGCCTAGGGGCTGGAGAGGATGGATCCGGTAATGAGGAGTGACTGCTAACGGGCATGGGTTTCTTTTTGTGGTGAAGAAAATGTTCTACAATTAGATAGTAGGATGATTGCACAACTCTGCGAGTATATACTGAAACCCACTGACGTGTACTCTGTAAACGGGTGAATTGTATGGTATGTGAATTAAATCTCAATGAACCTGTTGTGTTTTTTCTTTTCTAAGAGGCAGCCCAGGGCTTAGGAAGACGAGTGTGCCCTGGAATCTCAACAGACCCAGATTCCAGGCTCCACTCTGTTGCTTAATCAACTGTGTGATCTCCCACGCCTCCTCTGCCTCTCTGCTCAGTGGAAAACAACCCAAGTGTCCAACAGATGAATGAATAAACACAACGTGGTCCATCCACACAATGGCATAGGATTCCACCATAAAAAGGGATGAAGTTCTGATACAGGCTACACAAGGATGAACCCGGAAAAGATCATGCTGAGTGGGAGAAGCCAGGCACAAGAGGACATACTGTCTGATCCCACTCATGAAATATCTAGACTAGGCAAATGCAGAGAGACAAAGCTGGTTAGTGGTTATGAGGGTGGGTGGGTGGAAGGGGAGACGGGGAGTTACTGCTTAAGGGGCACGGCGTTTCTGTGAAGGGTAAGGAGGACATTTGGAAAAGGTAAGTGGTGATGGTAGCACATTATGGCGAACACAGCTAATGTCACTGAACTGTACCCCAAAATGATCAAAATGGCAAATGTTTCGTTATATATATTGGACCACAATTTAAAACAGTAACCAAGGCGAGACCTCCATGGGACCACCTGCCTTCGGAAATCCACCTCTTTGACTTAATTAACAAGGCTGGTGTTGCCACAGAAACAAGAAAACAGAAATGTGCAAAGATTTCAGGGAGTTTCCTGCTAATAAAAAAAAAAAGAGAGAGAGAGAGAGAAAGAAGAGTTTTCAGGTTGATTTTGTTTAACATTGTTTAACCCAATATTTTCCAAATTTATTTGACCTTCCCATTTCCATCGAGTCAATTCCGACTCTTAGAGACCCTATAGGACAGAGTAGAACTGCTCCATAGGGTTTACAGGGCTGTAATCTTTACAGAAGCAGACGCCACATCTGCTGCAAAAGACCTCTTTAAAGTGTTAAAAAGCAAAGCTGTCACTTTCAGGACTAAGGTGCGCCTGACCCAAGCCATGGTGTTTTCAGTCGCCTCATATGTATGCGAAAGCTGGACAATGAATAAGGAAGACCGAAGAAGAATTGATGCCTTTGAATTATGGTGTTGGCGAAGAATCTTGCATATACTATAGACTGCCAGAAGAACGAACAAATCTGTCTTGGAAGAAGTACAACCAAAATGCTCCGTAGAAGTGAGGATGGCGAGACTACATCTCACATACTTTGGACATGTTATGAGAAGGGACCAGTCCTTGGAGAAGGACATCATACTTGGTAAAGTAGAGGGTCAGCCAAAAAGAGGAAGCCCCTCAAGGAGATGGATTGACACAGTGGCTGCAACAATGGGCTCAAGCATAACAAGGACTGTGAGGATGGCGCAGGACCGGGCAAAGTTTAGTTCTGTTATCCATGGGGTCAGTATGAACCGGAACTGACTTGATGGCACCTAACAATAACAATAGCAACAAATCTTTACAGAAGCAGACTGCAGAGCGGCTGGTGGGTTCGGACCATCAACCTTTCAGCTGGCAGCCGAGCACTTTAACCACTGCGCCACCAGGGCTCCTTCAGGTTATGGAGTACCACATTTAAAATATTAATGGATATTTGGCAACATGAGGTGGTTCATCTTTTCTCTGCCATCAAGAAGAATCAGGGTGCAGCCGAGGCTTGCGTGTTGCTATGATGCTGAACAGGTTTCCGCGGAGCCTCCAGACTAAGACAGACTAGGAAGAAAGGGCTGGCCATGGACTGCCAAAAATTAATCATTGAAATCCCTAGGGATCACAACAGTTGGATCCACAGCTGATCAGGGGGATGGTGCAGGACCGGGCAATGTTTCATTCCTTTGTGCTTGGGGTCACCATGAGTCAGGGGCTGACTTGACGCAGCTGACGATGACAGCCTTGTCATCCCTGTTTCACAGAGAGGGGAACTGAGACTTGGTGACTTGTTCAAGAGTGCCTGAATTTGATGTTGACTGCTTCTCTCCACCTCCCCACCCAGCCACCCTCAGTTCTAAGGAAGTACCTGTTGAGCCTTGGAAAATTCCCCCCACCCCATCATCCCAGGCCTGGGTCACAGAATATCAAAGCCAGCCCCGTGGTTGACCCCTCTACGGCAGCAGCCGCCAGGACATCTGATCTCCAGCCAGTGGGGAGGGGGGACGCCGGCCTGGCGTTGGGGGCTGCTGGGGACGCTTTGGAGACATCAAAGGCTGCCAGAATCTCTCCGGATCCCAAGCCTATCTGTCTGTCCATCCATTGAACCCCGGGGGCTGGGCATTCATCTCTCCTTCGTGGCAACCCCCACCCTTGACAGGGCCTTCTCTGATCTTCACCCCCAGTCCGACTCCCCCTCATTCCGGGTACGTATCCCTTCCGCTTGTTCCCCCACCCCATGCCGCTGAGGTGTGTGCTGGAAGTAAACCATTTTTCCCTGACTGCACTTTTTGTCTGACTCAGCACCACTTTCTCTCAGAGTTCCACTGGTTCTCTCCAGTGATCTCAGAATGTTGTTAGGTGCCGTCGAGTCGGTTCTGACTCATAGCGACCCCGTGTACAACAGAACGAAACACTGCCCGGTTCTGCGCCATCCTCACAACCATTGCTACGCTTGAGCCCATTGTTGCAGCCACTGTGTCAGTCCATCTCGCAGAGGGTCTTCCTCTCTTTCACTGACCCTCTACTTTACCAAGCATGATATCTTTCTCCAGGGACTGGCCCCTTCTGATAACATGTCCAAAGTATGTGAGAGGAAGTCTCTTCATCCTTGCTTCTAAGGAGCACTCTGGCTGTACTTCTTCCAAGACAGAATTATTCATTCTTTTGGCAGCCCATGGTATCTTCAGTATTCATGGCCAGCACCATAACTCAAAGGCATCAATTCTTTGTCTTCCTTATTCATTGTCCAGCTTTTGAAGGATAAAGCCTTGGTATTCAATGCCCCCTTCTTGGTCTGACTCCTCCAGCCAGCCCTGACCACATGGAGCTTGGAGGGTCTGCTCTGCCTCCCCACTCAGACTAGGGGCCTCAGAAGGCGGCTTCTTTGGGGCCCTAGCATTGCTCGGCATGAGACCAGATCCACTGGACAAACGAAGGAATGATGAATGAATGAATGAAAGACACAGTTCAGGGAGCAGGACCGGGGCTGAGCCCCAGGGTCCAAGGTCAGAGTTAGTCTCTTTCCTACTTTCCCCACGGAACTGGGATCAAGAAAAATATCCAACACAACATGAACACAGAGATGTATCGAAGCTTCTGAACGTCCCCTGTCCCACTAGACCTGCCCCAAGGGGCTGCTGGGATTGTCCCGGAAAGCAGGCTGATAAAGGAGTGAACACTGGGCCACCTTGTCACCGCACCTTCGGGTCAGCCCACCCCGGCCAGTCAGTGAAGAAGGCAAGGTTATCGGAGGTCACAGAGCAGAGTTGGAATCCTGAACCTACTTCTGCTCAGCCGCGCGCCCCAGGGCAAGAGGCCTCGGCCTGAGCGTGGCTTTCCTCATCTGTAAAATGGGGAGAAGTGGCTTTCCTCATCTGTAAGATGGGGAGAAGTGGTGTAAGATCTCCTGGGGGTGCTGTGGGGATTACAGGCAGTGGAACATAAATAACAACCTTCGACTAATATTTTTAAAAGTCAGCACTCACTATCTCCTAATCTGAAGGTAAGTATGCCAGGAGGAAAGAATTGAGGTTCTCATCTCTCTTTATCCATGTGTCTCCACAGAAGTGGTCTACCCCTTATCTTCCATCTGCTAGATTAGCCTTTTTGGGCCTCCAGCGCCCTTTCCTGCCCATTTTGTCGTTTTGATTCATAGCGACCCTATGTACAACAGAACAAAACACTGCCTGGTCTTTTTATTATTATTATGGTGGTCAAAACAAAACAAAAAAAACCCATTGTCATCAGAGTTGATGCCAACTCATAGAAACTTCACGTGACAGAGTAGAACTGCCCCATAGAGCAGAGGTTCCTAGGCTGTTAGTCTGTATGGAAGGAGCGCAGGTGGCACGGTGGTTAAAGTGCTTGGCTGCTAACTGAAAGGTCGGCAGTTTGGAACCCACCAGCCGGCTGCTCTGTGGGAGAAAGATGTGGTAGTGGGCTTCTGTAAAGATTACAGCCAAGGAAACCCTATGGGGCAGCTCTGCTCTGTCCTACAGGGCTGCTGTGAGTTGCAATCAATTCAATGGCAATGGATTTCTATGTATTTGCTTATTTCATATACATGAGATCCTACGGTGTTTGTCCTTCTGCGGCTGACTTATTTTGCTCAGCATGATATTTACACGGTTCATCGATGTAGTGGCAAGTAGGAGGACTTCATTTCTCTTTACGGCTGCGTAATCTATTCTGTTTTAATAGGAGCTCCCGGGTGCTGTAAATGGTGATCGCGCTCAGCTGCTAACCAAAAGGTTGGTGGTTCGAATCCACCCAGAGGTGTTTTGAAAGAAAAGCCTGGCTATCTACCTCCAAAAACCTCAGTCATTGGAAGCACTGTGGCGCACAGTTCTACTCTGATATACATGGGGTCTCCATGAATCAGAGCTGACTCAACGGCAGCTGCTTTTTAAAAAAATTTTAGAGCAGTTTTAGGCTTACATAAAAACTGAGCAGAAAATACAGAATCTCCATGCACATGGTTCCTTGTTATTAACACCTTGCACTCGTGTGGTCCCCTTGCTATAATCGATGAACCCACATGGATAGATTATTTTGGCTAAAGGCCATCGTTCACGTGAGGACTCAATCTTGATTTTTTGTACTCCTGTGAGTTTTGACAAACGCATGATGTCAGGTGTCCACCATGACAGTGTTGTGCAGAATAATGTCACGGCCCTCATGATGCCCTGTGCTCCCGCTTCTCATCTTTTTCTCCGCCTCCCCAAGCCCCTGGCAACCAGCGGTCTCACTGCATCTAGAGTTTGGCCTTTTCCAGAATGTCATCCAGTTGGATCATATAGTCTGTAGTTTGTTTTTTTTTTTCAGAATTCCCACTGATTTTTAGACTCCTTTTTACAAAGGAGTGGGTACTGGAGTGGGTGGTCCGCATCAGTGTGGGGGTCTGGGGCTGTGCACCCCACAGGCTGCCTGAACACCAGGTTTGTGAGTGGGTCCCTGCCTGTTTCTGATTCTCTGGCTGTATCTCCACCATTCAGTCACTGCACAAATATGTAGTGAACTTCTGCTACATGCTGGGCATTGCTGGGGACAACACAGTGACCAAGACAGACACGGTCCTGCCTTCACGGGGCTCATAGTCCAGTGGAGGAGACAGGCACATAACTAGGCAGTTACAGCTGCTGGGGTGGCAGATATCAGGGTTGTGATGGGGACCCCCTGGGGTGCTATGGGAGGAGGGGGTGCTGAAGTTTCCTGCATGAGAATATCAAGAGCCAGCATGTACACAAGGGCTTCTGGTGGCACAGTGGTTAAATGCTCAGCTGCTAACCGAAAAGTCCTGCTCCGAGGAAGAAAGATGTGGCAGTCTGCTTCCATAAAAGATTAACCAAAAAAAAAAAAAAAAAACCAAAAAACTCATTGCCGTCCAGTCAATTACAACTGAGCGACTCCATAGGACAGAATAGAACTGCCCCGGTAAGGTTTCCAAGGAGCAGTTGGTGAATTCGAACTGTCGACCTTTTGGTTAGCAGCTGAGCTCTTAATCACTGAGCCACCAGGGCTCCCCATAAAAGATTACAGCCTAGGAAAATCCCTACAGGCAGTTCTACTGTGTCCTATAGGGTCCCTCTGAGTCGGAATTGACTCAACGCCAACAGGTAACACTTACATAGGGGTCCCTGGGTGGTACAAACGGTTAAACACTTGATTACTAGTCCAAAGATCGGCAGTGCGAACCCACCCAGGAGGAGAAAGACCTGGCAATGGGCTCCCATAAAGATTACAGCCTAGAAAACCCTCTGGGTCAGTTCTACTCTGTTACATGGTGTCACTATGAGAAGAAATCGACTCGAGGACACCTAACAACCTACATTATGCCCATTTTAGAGCTGGGGAGACTGAGGCCGCAGGGAGTTAAGGGACTTATCCCAGCTAGAACCGCTCGGAGGGAGTGGGGCTGGATCCGGACCCTATAAACCCGGCTCCAGAGTCCAAGTTTTGAAAGCCAGGGTGGAGGGGAAGTGGAGAGGGAACCGCGCCTGCTCTTTGAAGGTACTTGAAACCGCTGGAGTCTTGTGACCCAGGCGGGGGAGGGAAGTTAGAGGAGTACCGGGAGGGGGGGCGAGCACGGCGTCGGAGACAGACGCACCTGAGTGCTTCCCCTCCCTGGGCCCTGTATTTGGTCTTAAATGGGAGTGAGATGGGCGTGGATTTTTGGGGCCGCCGCCAGGCTGGGATGAGGTCATCCACGTGGGGCGCCTGGCACCGCCAGCGCTTATTAAATGCCGGCTAGTGTTATTATAATCATTATCCCATTATCATCGTTAATATTAATTAATTGGTACTAATTCTGCCACATAGGAGGCCTGGTGGCGCAGTGGTTAAGCGCTCCGCTGCTAACCGAAAGGGTGCGGTTCGAACCCACTAACCGCTCCACGGGAGAAATATGCGGCAGTGGGCTTCTGTAAAGGTTTACAGCCTTGGAAACCCTATGGAGCAGCTCCACCCCGTCCTTAAGGGTCTCCGTGAGTCACCATCGACTGACGGCAACCGTTTGGTAATTCTGCCTCTTGGATCCTCATTGCGTCTCCTAACTGAGACCCCCCCCGCCCCACTCCAACCTCACTTCCACCCCACGCCACCCTCTCCGGCCGGCGTTGGGCTTCAGAAAGCTGTAGGCGGGCTGGAGCGGGGCGGGCCTGGAGCCAGGCGTATGGGTGGGGGCTCCCCTGGCGTCGCCCCAAACCCGGGTCTGGGGGCCTGCATACCCGCCACGTGGTGCTGGCGCTAGAACGCTGTGACCCCGGCGGCGCTGAAGGGGAAGCCGGGCTAACCCCGAGGCCACGCCCCCCACTTGATGATTGGCTCGCGGGTCCCGGTGCTCGGCCTCGATTGGCGGAGGCGGCCGCCGCTCCCGGGATTTCTCGCCTCCGCCTCTGCGCGGCGCCCGCGGCGCAGTCTCCGGGCAGGCTGACTCCCGGGTCACAGGAGCGGGGCGGAGGCTGAGGGGCGACCCTCGGCGAGGCGTCCGCCGGTGACCGGCTGGTGTGGGCACTTCGCGGGGTGGCCGGCCTGCCCCGGGGGCTCCTCAGCGGCCCCCAGAAGGTCTAGGCTGCGGGTTCCCTCCATAGAGCCCGGGGCTGGCCCGTCCCCAGGGCGTGGGGCGCGTGCTGAGCTTGGCATCATGGGTCCCGGGACCCCGGGCGCGGCGGCGTCCCCGCGGGCACTGCCGCTGGTCGCACGGCTCAGCTACGCCGTGGGCCACTTCCTCAACGACCTGTGCGCGTCCATGTGGTTCACCTACCTGCTGCTCTACCTGCACTCGGTGAGCGCCTACAGCTCGCGGGGCGCCGGCCTGCTGCTGCTGCTCGGCCAGGTGGCCGACGGGCTGTGCACGCCCCTCGTGGGCTACGAGGCCGACCGCGCCGCCGGCTGCTGCCCCCGCTACGGCCCACGCAAGGCCTGGCACCTGGTCGGTAAGCACCCCGGACCCCCTCGACCCAGCCACTCCTGTCTGTCAGTCCTAGCCGTGACACACCTGTCTGTCTGCCGGTGGCCTGAGCCTCCCCACTCTGTCTGTCAGCCCCATGGCCCGAGCCTCCGCCCGCCGTCTGCCCTGTGGCTGCTGTCTGACCTGCAGAACCTCTCCATCTGCCTATCGGCCTGACCCTCCAGTGCTGCTTCCCCTTGTCTGTCTGTCTGTCCTCTGGGGGCACTCTACTGTCTCTGGGATGGGTCTGACAGCCCAGTGCCGCCTTTGTCCGTCTGTCTGATCTGGCCTGACTTCTCAGTCTGACTGTCACCAGATTGGTTATCCAGAACCCCCTCTGTCTGAATGACTGTCCGGCTGTCCAGGACCCCTCTGTCTGTCTGTTCCTTCCCCCAGAGCATCCCCCTCCATTCTCTACCCCATCTTGGGAAACCTGGTTTTTTAGGGGTTTGGAGGTGCTGCCTCGGAAGCTGGGATTTGGGGGCCGGGTGGGACACAAGCTTCTGGTGTCTGTGACTTTCTCTCGCTTCCCACCTGTCCCACTGACTGGAGATGGGGGTCTGTAGGGTGCATAATGGGGGCCCCCTGTGTTCTGGGAGAGTGGGCTGTTGGGGAGTGGGAAAGACTGGTCCCTGGGGCTAGGGTATCCTGTCCCCGGTGCACACTGATAAGGCCACAGAGTCCGCCTCTCCGTGCCCTCCTCTCCCCGCCCGGACCCTGGGCCTTGAGATTAGCCGTGGCCACTTTCTTCGGTGTTCTTCCCCTGGGTCGAGCTGCCACCCACATCCCGGCATCTGAGGCTCGCCTGGCATCCTGGAGACAGGGCCAGGAGTCGTGCCCACACTCAGAATCCTGGGCTGCCCTGCCTTCTTGCCCCTGGGGGCAAGGACCAAGGGCAGCCGGTTGACCTGAGCCCTCGGTTGAGAGAGTGTTTTGCAAGATGTAGCAGATCTGTAGGGCCCGAGGGTGGCTGGCCCTCCTGGGCCACAGCCTGGGAGTCAGATTTTCAGTTTCTGAGGACCTGGGGGACACCCAGCCTGCTCCTGGGTCACTTTAGGCCAAGGCAGCTAGGGAGGGGGACCGGAGAGATGGGGGTTGTGGACCTCAGGCCCGGTACTGCCTCATCTGAAAAATGGACATTCGGGTCCTCCCTTTCTTCTTTCTCTTCAGGATCTCAAATGCAGCTTTATTCATAATAGTTGGGTAAACTCACTGACAAGGAGCCCTGAGGGCGCAAATGGTTAAGCAGTTGCTGCTAACCGAAAGGTCAGGGGTTTGAACCTGCCCAGAAGCTCTGTGGGAGAAAGACCTGGCGATCTGCACCCATGAAGATGACAGCCTAGGAAGCCCTCTGGGGGCAGTTCTGCTCTGTCCCCTGTGGTCCCTGTGATGCGGGATTGACTGGGGGGTACCTAACAATGAGAACGACGGCAACAACGAAGTCCTTGACAGACAAACAGAATCATCCCTGAGCTGAGCCCGGGAGACGCAGAGGGAGGGGACTGTTTGATCTGGGGCAGAGCCAGCCTGGGGCCCTGTAGGGGTGGGGGTGGTGTCCCTGGCATGTGCAAAGGCCCTGAGGTGGGCGGGACCCATCACCCGTTTAGAGCTTCTTTCACAGGTGGGAGGCCTCAGGTTTAGGGGGGCCCTGCCTGACCCCAGAGGAGTCTGAGGCCCCCAGCAGGGGCAGGGTTAAGGAGGCTGAAAGCGCCTTTGTAATTAAAGAGGTGAAGGGTTTGTGTTTGTGCAAAGCAGGCCTGGGGACAAAGCACCAAGGCTTCCAGCTGCGCTCCTCCCCCACCTCAATCACCCCAGCCCAGCTGGGGTGGGTAGCAGGGAGGCCCAGGAGGGTCTGTGGAAAGAGGAAGCCAGGGCTGCTGATAAGGTGACCTGAGAGAAGGTCACCGTAGTAACACTGCCCACTTCTCTCTTTTACCCCCAAGTCTGTGGGTGGTGGGGTGATACAGGAACCCAGAGAGGGCCCAGCCCCCAAACAGAAACTCCTGTGGGGTTCAGATGGCAAGACTGGGCTTCGGATGGAAAAAGTAGAGCCCCGGAGGGGAAGTCTTCTTGGGGGAGGGGACATTAGCTTTGGGGTTTTGAAGGATGAGTAGGAGGGTGTCTGTGTATTTGAGGGGAAGGAGGGCATTCCAGGTAGTGAAAACAGCTTGTGCGAAGGCATGAAATATCATGGCCTTGAGGCTTGGGGAAGGAGCCCTGGTGACACAGTGGTTAAAGCGCTCGGCTGCTACCCAAAAGGTCGGCGGTTTGGACCCACCAGCCACTCTGGGAGAAAGATGTGGCGATCTGCTCCCGTTACAGCTTTGGAAACCCTATGGGGTAGTTCTGCTCTGTCCCAGAGGGTCGCTAGGAGTCGGAATCAACTCCACGGCAGTGGGTTTGGGTTTTGATTTGGAGGCTCAGAGGGGCGGGAGCTTCAGCTTTCACACGTGAAGTCTGAACCCTGTGCCAGCCCTGTCGGGCAGGGCCTTTCACGCTCTCTGTTTTCTGGAACCTCAGACCAGGAGAGGCAGAGTCACCTGCCCCTCTTGGTCCCGCCAGGCGGCCCCGCCCCACCAATGGTTAACCCGGCCTGCTGGGCGGTATCAGAGGCTGCCCGGAGTCCCCTGAGCAGAGTCCATGCTACGATCCCCAGGGAGTCTCCAGGCTTAGGGAGTCCCCGCCCAGGGGCCCCTCCTGGCTACCAGTTCCAGGGAAACAGGGTGGTTTTGGTTTCAGTTCCCAAACCCAGGACTGCGGTTGCCGCCCCTGTGGGTCTGAGTGGTGAGGTCACCTCCTGTGTCTGGAGAAGTCCAGCTTCCAGGCTATAGGCAGGGGCCTCTCCAGGCGCGCTCTGGGATGGGAGGGGAAGGGCGCAGGGCCCGCAGGCTGGCCCCTCAGCTCTATGGCTCACTTGCTGGGCCTGTTTCTTCATCTGGACAATGGGGATATTAACACCCACCCCTTAGGGCCGTTATTGCTAGTCATTCATTCAACAGATGTTGATGTGCCAGGCTCCATGCTGGGTGCCAGGGACACCCAGTGATGCGGAGAGCCCTGGTACCCACCCACTCGGAGCCCGCAGTCTTGGGGTGGGGAGGCAGACAGGAAATAAGCAAATAGGAGAATTCCTGTGCGTGCCAGGGGCCGAGAGGCAAAGGAAGCCGGGTCCCGGATAGGCGCATTTCCTGGCGAGTCCCCAGAGCCTTTCCCCAGTGGTGGTGGGCATGGGAGCTGACTTCTTGCTGCTGTTCCACCTGGGCGCCAGGGAGGGGCGCTGCGGGCTGCGGCTGGAGGAGCCAGGTGTCAGCAGGGAGGGCTTATTTGAGGAGGTGACATTTGAGCTGCGACCTGAGGGATAAGAAGGAGCCAGGCTTGCTAAGTTGTGGGGGGAGAGGATTCCAGGTCAAGGAACAGCCCGTACAAAGGCCCTGGAGCAGAACCGAGGTGGCTGGAGTGGAGTGAGGGAGGGGGAGAGAGAAGGAGAGGGTGGGGAGGGGGTACATGGAGGAGCTTGCATTTGTTCTAGAGTACTGATTTTTTTCTGAGCACGTGAAGAAAAGGGCCTCATGTACGAGGCAGTCTGTTTCCCAGCCTCTGTCCCCAGGGGCCAGGACAGCGTCTGAGGGAGAGGCCCCCTTCTGAGCTGACTGGTCCAGCCCACTCCTCTTGGGCCTGCTGCTCCTGGGACCCCACTCTGGCTGCCGGGCTGGGACGGGATGTTCGATGACGGCTACGTCGGTGTCGGAGCTGGGGAGACAAGGCCTCCTTCCCCGCGGGTGGGCGAAGCGAGGGGGACGCTGTGGGTGGATGATGTCTCTGTCTGTGGTGGGCAGACCTCAGGTGGACCCCACAAGGCCCTTCAGCCTGCTGTGCCTCAGTTTCCCCATCTGTCACCAAGGGAACAACCTTCAGGAGTCCTGGGCTGGTGTGGGGGCGCCAAGTTCTTGTCCTCTCTGTCTGTCCTGCCTGACCATATGTCCCAGCTGTGCCTCATCATGATGTATGACCTCAGTGGGACCCCAGCCTGCTTCGTGCCTCAGTTTCCCATCTGACACAAGGGGTATATCCCCCTGGGAACCCTAGACTGGTGTGTGCAGGCCTTGCTTCTTTGTCCCATTTGGCTGTGTGATCGCAGAGGGACTAAAAAAAAAAAAAAACCTCTCTGTGCCTTAGTTTCCCCGTTTGTCATGGACTCCATATACCTGGAAAGCCCCGGGATGCTGAGCCCCGCCCCACTGTGTGACTTTGGGGGGTGTCGCAGCCCCTTCTGTGCCTCCGTTTCCCCCCATCTCACCCCGAGGAGTGTAGGAAGGCAGGGTCCCCCCCTGCAGCGTCCTCCGTGATGTGACCCTGCCCCGCCCGCCTCTCCACAGGCACCGTCTGCGTCCTGCTGTCCTTCCCCTTCATCTTCAGCCCGTGCCTGGGCTGCGGGGCCGCCACGCCTGAGTGGGCTGCTCTCCTCTACTACGGCCCCTTCATCGTCATCTTCCAGTTCGGCTGGGCCGCCACGCAGATCGCGCACCTGAGCCTCATCCCGGAGCTGGTCACCAACGAGCACGAGAAGGTGGAGCTGACGGCTCTGAGGTACTGCCTTGACACAGCGGCTCTGGGCTTCTGGGGCTCTGGGGCTCTGCGGCTCTGGGGTTCTGGGGCTCTGTAGCTCTGGGGTTCTGGGGTTCTGAGGCTCTGGGGTTCTGAGGCTCTGCAGATCTGGGGTTCTGGGGCTCTAGCTATGGGGTTCTGGGGTTCTGAGGCTCTGTGGCTCGGGTTCTGGGGTTCTCGGGCTCTGTGGCTCTGGGGTTCTGGGGTTCTGAGGCTCTGTAGCTCTGGGGCTCTATGGTTCTGGGGTTCTGGGGCTCTGGGGTTCTGTGGCTCTGGGGCTCTGGGGCTCTGGGGTTTTGCAGCTCTGGGGTTCTGGGACTCTGGGACTCTGCAGCTCTGGGGCTCTGTGGCTCTGGGGTTCTGGAGCTCTATGGTTCTTGGCTTCTGGGGCTCTCAGGTTCTGAGGTTCTGGGGCTCTCGGGTTCTGGGGTTCTGGGGCTCTGTGACTCTGGGTCTTTGGGGTTCTGGGGCTCTGCAGCTCTGGGGCTCTGGGTTTCTGGGGCTCTGGGTTCTTCTTTCTTCATGACATTGTACAAGGCAGCTTTGACTGAGTAACAAATTAGTCCAAAGCTTAGCAGCTGAAAACAGGACATTTATGATCTCACAGCATGGAGGCTGGGTCCTTTGCTTCAGGGCCTGTCACCTGGCTGCAATCAAGGCATTGGCCGTGGCTGCGGTCTTCTCTGTTGGGGTCCCACCTCTTCCACGCCCATGTAATTGTTGGCAGAATTTGTTTCATTACAGCTGTAGAGGTCATGGTGGCTAACTTCTTTGAGGCCAGCAGAAGAATCTCTGATCTCAGGGAGTACCTGATTAGATCAGTCCCACCCAGGACAATCTCCTTTTCAACTAATTGAAACTCATACTGATTAGGAAGCTTAATTGCAGCCGCAGAATCCCTTTACGTTTGCCACATACTGTTACCTAAGCCTCTTTCCCACCACCCCCGTCTGTCAGTTTGCTGTACTCTTGTGGCTTGCATGTTGCTACGCTGAGGAAAGCGATGCCATCAGTATTTCAAATATCAGCAGGATCACCCATAGTGGACAGGTTTCAGCAGAGCTTCCAGACTAAGATTATGAAGAAAGGCCTGGCAATCTAATTCCCAGAATCGGCCAATGAAAAAACTATGGATCAAAAAGAACACTGTCTGATACAGTGCTGGACGATGAGCCCCTTAGGTTGGTTTGTTATTAAGTGTCCTCGAGTCAGTTCCAACTCATAGCGACCCCGTGTACAACAGAAGGAAACACTGCCTGGTCCTGCGCCCTCCTCACAGTCGTTGTTATGCTTGAGCCCACTGTTGCGGCCACTGTGTCAGTTGATCTCGTTGAGGGCCTTCCTCTTTTTGGCTGACCTTCTACTTTACCAAGCATGATGTCCTTCTGCAGGGACTGATCCCTCCTGATAACATGTCCGAAGTATGTAAGATGTAATCTCACCATCCTCGCTTCTAAGGAACATTCTGGCTGTACTCCTTCCAAGACAGATTTGTTCGTTCTTCTGGCGGTCCGTGGTATATTCAATATTCTTCGCCAACACCATAATTCAAGGGCATCAGTTCTTCTTTGGTCTTCCTTATTCATTGTCCAGCTTTTGTATGGATATGAGGTGATTGAAAATACCATGGCTTGCGTTAGGCGAACCTTAGACTTCAAGGTCACGTCTTTGCTTTCTAACACTTTAAAAAGGTCTTTTGCAGCAGATTTGCCCAATGCAATGCCTCTTTTGATTTCTTGACTGCTGCTTCCATGATTGTTGATTGTAGATCCAAGTAAAATGAAATCCTTGACAATTTCAGTCTTTTCTCCGTTTATCATGATGTTGCTTATTGGTCCAGTGGTGAGGATTTTTGTTTTCTTTATGTTGAGGTGTAATCCATACTGAAGGCTGTGGTCTTTGATCCTCATCAGTAAGTGCTTCAAGTCCTCTTCACTTTCAGCAAGCAAGGCTGTGTCATCTGCATATCGCAGGTTGTTAATGAGTCTTCCTCCAATCCTGATGCCGCGTGCTTCTTCATATACTCCAGCTTCTCGGATTATTTGCTCAGCAGACAGATTGAATAGGTATGGTGAAAGAATACAACCCCAACACATACTTCTGACTTTAAACCACACAGCATCCCCTTGTTCTGTTCAAACAACTGCCTCTTCATCTATGTACAGGTTCCTCACAAGTACAATTAATTGTTCTGGAATTCCCGTTCTTCGCAATGTTATACATAATTTGTTATGATCCACACAGTCGAACGCCTTTGCATAGTCAAACACAGGTAAACATCTTCCTGGTATTCTCTGCTTTCAGCCAGGATCCATCTGACATCAGCAGTGATATCCCTGGTTCCGCGTCCTGAATTTCTGACAGTTCCCTGTTGATGTTCTGCTTGCTGCAGCCGCCTTTGAATGATCTTCAGCAAAATGTTACTTGTGTGTGATATTAATGATATTATTCGACAATTTCCGCATTCGGTTGTATCACCTTTCTTGGGAATAGGCATGGATATGGATCTCTTCCAGTCAGTTGGCCAGGTAGCTGTCTTCCAAATTTCTTGGCATAGATGTGTGAGCACTTCCAGCTGCTGCATCCATTTGTTGAAACATCTTAATTGTATTCCGTCAGTTCCTGGAGCCTTGTTTTTCGCCAATGCCTTCCGTGCAGCTTGGGCCTCTTCCTTCAGTACCATCGGTTCCTGATCATATGCTCCCTCCTGAAATGGTTGAATGTTGACCGATTCTTTTTGGTACAGTGACTGTGTATTCCTTCCATCTTCTTTTGATGCTTCCTGCATCGTTTAATATTTTCCCCAGAGAATCCTTCAATATTGCAGCTCGAGGCTTGAATTTTTTCCTCAGTTCTTTCGGCTTGAGAAATGCTGAGGGCATTCTTCCCTTTGGTTTCCTATCCCAGGGCTTTGCACATGTCGTTATAATGCTTTACTTGGTCTTCCTGAGCCGCCCTGTGAAATCTTCTGCTCAGCTCTTTTACTTCCTCCTTTCTTTCATTTGCTTTGGCTACTCGACGTTCAAGAGCAAGTTTCAGAGTCTCTTCTGACATCCATTTTGGTCTTTTCTTCCTTTCCTGTCTTTTTAATGACCTCTTGCTTTCTTCATGTATGATGTCCTTGATGTCATCCCACAGCTTGTCTGGTCTTTGATCACTAGTGTTTGATATGTCAAGTCTATTCTTGGGATGGTCTCTCAATTCAGGCGGGATATTCTCAAGGCCGTACTTGGGGCATACCTGGGTCGGAAGGCACTCAGAATACCTGGTGGCTGCAGCAGTGGATTCGCACATACCAACAATCATGATGATAGTACCGGACCAGGCTGTTTCATTCTCTTATATGTGGGCTCTCCAGGGGCTGCCTCCAGGACAACTAACAGCAACAAGCCTGCTTTCAAAGGATCACCTGATTAGATCAGGCCCACCCAAGATAATTTTTGTATTAACTCAGTGTCAAACTGATTAGGTACTTTAATTACATCTGTAGAATCCCCTTATCTTTTGACTGTCTAAGATACTCCACTGGTCTCAACCCGCCTGGAGCAAGGGAGAGTGAAGAAAACCAAAGACACAAGGGAAAGATTAGTGCAAAGCATGGACCACAACTACCACAGCCTCCACCAGACTGAGTCCAGCACAACTAGATGGTACCTGGCTACCACCACTGACTGCTCGGACAGGGATCACAATCGAGGGTCCCGGACAGAGCTGGAGAAAAATGTAGAACAAAATTCTAACTCACAAAAAAAGACCGGACTTAACTGGTCTGACAGAGACTGGAGAAACCCCGAGAGTATGGCCCCCAGACACCCTTTTAGCTCAGTAATGAAGAAGGAAAAAAAAAAGAATCCCTTTATTTTTGCTACGTAAGGTCACCCAATCACTGAATGACATCCCGTCATATTCACAGTTCCGCCCGTAAGGGGAGGGGATTATACCGGGTGTGGACACCAGGGGGCAGGAGTCTTTAAAACCCTGTCCGAGGTCTGCACACCACACCTGGGTACAGTCGATGCCTGGCTTATCCAGTGACTTGCTCGAGGCGCTAAAGAAGGTTATGCGCGATGTGATAATAAGAAGAGCATGCATTGAGCACTTACTGTGTGCCAGGTGCTGTTCTAGGCACTTGGCACAGATTACCTCCTTTAATCTTCACAGCTCCAGGGGATGGTGACTAGGGTTGCTTCCGTCATTTTCCAGGAGGAAAAGGGAGGTCGTGTGTCCAAGGCCTGCATGTGGAAGTGCCGGGTTTGAACAGAGTGGGTCTGTGGGAGCCGGAGCAGGGAGCAGGGGGCCAGTTCCAGGCAGAGGGAACAGCGTGTGCGAAGGCGGCCAGTGTGGCTGGCCCTCGGAGCAGGGCTTGGCTCACAGCCTTGACGGGAACTAAGCATCTTCATTAAACACGCAGACGCGCCGTGCTTACTGCCACGGGAAGTTCCAGTTCCATGTGTCAGTATGCTCCATACGTGCGCGTTACTTTTGCCGTATAATAATGTCTTCACTGGGGGCCCCACCCTGTCTCCAGATCAGCCCATTTGTCCCCAGCAGCCCTGCCCACCATGGCCTCCTCTCCACCCCTGCCTTTGAGTTCCCCATTATGTCCCTGAAAGGCGTGTACACTAACGGTAGGGATTGCCCAATGCCCAGGGCCCCCGGGGCTGTGGCGGATGGGGATGGGCTGGATCAGCCGAGGCCAAGTCCTGGGTCACGTGCTACGGGTAGGCGCTTCACCAGCCAACCTTATTCCATCTTCCCTTTGACCTCCAGAGGTAGTACTGCCCTTACTTTCAGAAAGGGAAACTGAGTCACTGTGCGATCCAGAGGCTTCCTGTCATCCCCTGGTGAGCCCCTGGAGGGACGTCACTCCAGGGCTGCGGGCAGGAGCTGACCTGGATGACTAGATCATGGAGTTCTCACCTGGAGAAGCCCAAGATCTGGGAACCAAGAATTCTAGAATCCTGGCTTCTAAGCCTCCAGGGCTCTGGGGCTGCAGCCCCGGAAACTCTGCATCCGGACCCCAGATGGCAGACGGAGGTCACGGTGGAATTGTGGGGCAGAGTTGTGAATCCTCACTTCGTGTGCAGGCTGGGGAAACAGGCAATAGGGCCTTCCCCAGGTCTCCCAGTGGGTCAGTGGCTGACCTCGCCCTTCAGCCGGGCCTCCCCAGATGCCTCAGCAGCCCTGACTGCGTCTGTGGCCACCTGGGGAGGAAGTGGCCACGTGGTTTCCGGAGCAGCCTGGACTGAGGCTTCCCCCGGACCCCGCCCCCGCCAGGTACGCCTTCACCGTGGTAGCCAACATCACCGTCTATGGCGCTGCCTGGCTCCTGCTCCACCTGCAGGGCTCCCCGCACGTGGGGCCCACCCAGGAAATCAGTGACGAGCTGGGGGTCCAAGATGTGCCAGTGTTTCGGGTGAGCTGGGGTCAGCCTAGGCCGCTGTCGGCTGGGCGGGACATCCCAAAGTCCCCGTATTTGGGGCTCGAGCCACTTCTGACCTTTTTTTGTTTTTTTGCTGGGTTCCCAGAACCTTTCCCTGTTGGTGGTGGGCATCGGAGCGGTCTTCTCCCTGCTGTTCCACCTGGGCACCAGGGAGGGGCGCCGGCCGCGGTGGGAAGAGCCGGATGAACACAGCCCTTTGCTGACCCACGAGGCCCAGCCCTTGCTGCTCTGGAAACACTGGCTTCAGGAACCAGCCTTTTATCAGGTGCATTGGTGACGGGAGGGGCATGGAGGCCTGGAGTCAATGTCCCGCTCCCCCCAGGCCCCTTACTGTGCAGGCAGGGATAGGAAATGTAGCTGCTCCTCCATTCCACACCCAGGTTAGACATTACTAATTGATTACTGCTCTCTTCTCTGGCTGACCAACTAGAAAGTCACTACTAATTGAGCCTGTGCCAGCTTAATGCAACCTGTTTGCATTCATTCCCTGCCTTGCAGGGGTGCTCAGCTAGCCTACCCTCCAGCGCCCTCTGCTGGTGGGAGTGGAGAAATGCCCTGTCTCCAGTTAAGGGCTTCTGCTTGTAGGGCCTCCATTTGATGATCCCCGGGCGGGCCCTCTGTCTGCCCACAGGTGGGCCTGCTGTATATGAGCACGAGGCTCATCGTGAACCTATCCCAGACGTACATGGCCATGTACCTCACCTACTCCCTCAGCCTGCCCAAGGTGAGCTGGGTGGGGGTTGGGCAGGTGGGACGGCCCCGTCCTGCCCTTCCAGCCTGCGCTGACTCGCCCTGTGCCCGGCTGTGCCCTGACAGAAGTTCATCGCGATCATTCCCCTAGTGATGTACCTCAGTGGTTTCTTTTCCTCATTCCTCATGAAGCCCATCAACAAATGGATCGGGAGGAACGTGAGTGTGGGGCCAGAGGGGCGCCGGGGCGGGGTTGGGTGGGGGTGGGGCATCCCTGCCTATGGGAACTCACAAAATCAGACCCAGCGACCTGGGGATCCCAGACCCCAGTGATTCTCGACCCCCTCTAGGTTCTAGAGTTCTCGCCTTGCAGGAAGCCCAGATCTGGGAGCCCAGAATTCTGGAATCCTGCCTCCTGAGCCTAATAGGTCCTCAGACACCTGGGGCTGCAGGGCTGTAGAACTTTCTGAAACAATTGAAATTACTCTGCACAGTTCGGTATGGTAGCCACATGTGGCTCCTGAGCACTTGACACGTGGCCGGTATGACTGAGGAACTGAGTTCTCCATTTTAATTAATTAGCTAATAAATTAAGGAACCCTGCTGGCGCAGTGGTTAAGCACTTGGCTGCTAAACGAAAGGTCGGAGGTTCAAACCCACCAGCTGCTCCGCAGGATGAAGATGTGGCAGTCTGCTTCCGTAAAGATTAACCCATTAAAACCCACTGCCATCGACGCATAGCAACCCTATAGGACAGAGTAGAACTGCCCATAGATGTTTCCAAGAAGCGCCTGGTGGATTCCAGCTGCCGGCCTTTTGGTTAGCAGCTATAGCACTTACGCCAGCAGAGTTCCCCGTAAAGATTACAGCCTTGGAGACTGTATGGGGCAGTTCTACTCTGTCCTATAGAGTCGCTATGAGTCAGAATCAACGGCAACGGGTTTGGTTTTTGTTTGGTGGCCAAACGGTTAAGCACTCAGCTGCTAATCAAAAGGCAGGTGGTTCGAACCCAGCAGCTACTCCGAGGGAGAAAGATCTGCTCCTGTAAAGATCGTTATTTGTTAAGTGCTGTCGAGTTGACTCTGACACATAGCGACCCTATGTTCAACAGAACACTGCCCCCGTCCCTGTAAAAATTACAGCCTAGGAAACCCTACAGCCAGTTCTGCTCTGTCACATGGGATCGCTATGCGTCAACCCTGACTCAGCACCTAACAGCAACAACCCTTAATGAATTAGTGTGCAGTTAGAGTTAACCACGGATGGCTAGTGGCTACCATATTGGGTAGCACTGTCTAGAATGTTGTTACACGGAGCTCTGAGAACCCCTAAGTGTCCGGATCTCAGAATTCCATGAGGTCGGGGATGGTAGGACCCTTAGGGAGTGACCGGCTCAGCCCCACCCTTTGCTGGGGGGAGACCACTGAGGGGGTGTGTGCCGGGCTAGCGGGTGCCAGCGGTGTGCTGCCTGCCACGGGGCGGGTGTCCCTGCAGATGACCTACTTCACGGGCCTCCTGGTGATCCTCGCCTTCTCGGCGTGGGTGGCGCTGGCCAACGGGCTGGGTGTGGCCGTGTACGTGGCGGCCGTGCTCCTGGGCATGGGCTGTGCCACCATCCTCGTCACTTCGCTAGCCATGACGGCTGACCTCATCGGCCCACACACGGTAGGGCTGGAGGGCAGGGTCGAGGTGGGGGTGTGGTCCCGAGGGGGGCCGTGGGCACCCACCACCCTGCCCATGTCCCCACAGCACAGTGGAGCTTTTGTGTATGGCGCCATGAGCTTCTCAGACAAAGTGGCTAACGGGCTGGCGGTCATGGCCATCCAGAGCCTGCACCCCCGCGGGTAAGTGCCGGCGTCCATTCGTTCATTCGTCCCCGTTCATTCTTTCGTTCATTTGTTCAACCATCCAGCCATTCCTTTGTTCACCCATTCATTTGCTGTCCACATCTATGCATTCGCCCACCCATCTATTCATTCTTTCACTGATCAATTTAGCCATCCATCCATTCATTCCTTTGTCCATCCATCCATGTGTTTGCTCATTAATTTGTTCAGCCATCCATCCATCCATCGATTTGTTCGTCCACTCAGTAGGGATTTAGTGAGTGCCTGCTGCGCCAGGCTCGCTCTAGGTCTGGAGACTCAGCCATGGACAGGAGGTCCCTGCTCTGCTGGGACTCACAGCCTCACTAGCTGTGGCCCTGGGGGGCCTGGTCATCCCTTACCTTGGACGGATTATTTATTCAGCAAACGTGGAGTCTGCTGTGTGTGCCAGGCCCTGAGGGTACAGTACGCAGTGTATCTGGAGGAATGTGGTAGGGACGGAGGGCAGGGATCCTGGAAGCGGACAACCCACTGTACCTGGACCCAGAGCTCAGCTTCCAGACCCAGATGATTCTAGACCACGAGCTGGCGCCTTGCAGAACCCCAGGGTCGGGAAACCGAGGCCGTTCTCTTAAGCGTACACATCAGTGTGTCTTTGGGACCGGTGGTGAGCACTACGGAGGAGACTGCCACTGACTGCGGCCTGAAGGGGTGGGGGAGTCAGGGAGGGCTTCCCTGAGGAGGTGACATCCGAGCTGATACCTGGAGGGTGACTGCGAGTTCTAGGCAAATGGGGAGGGATGGCTCATGCAAAGGCCCCAGGGCAGGACCAGGCCTGGTGAGTTGGAGGAACAGTGAGGAGGCCCACTGTGGCTGGAGCAGAGTCGGGGAGGGGGAGAGAGGAGGAGGGGAGGGCAGGGAAAGGATGGAGAGGTTGTGTGGGACCCTGTGGGCTGCAGGGAGAATTTAGGCGTTTACCCGAGGGAGGTGGGAGCCCTAGAGGGCTGTGAGCAGAGGGGGGACGGGCCCTGACTCAAGTGCTCACGGGTGCCCCCTGGCTGCTGCGGGGAGGACAGACTAGGGTGGCGAGGACCAGAGTAGGGGACCAGGGTGGAGGTGACTGCACAGGTCCAGGGGGGCGATGATGGGGCTGGAGCAGGTGGAGGCAGAGGAGAGGGGATGTGGGCGGATTTGTGATAGAATTTGAAGGCAGAGCTGAGTGCTGGCCGATGTGTTGGATGTTGGAGGGGAAGGGAAGGGAGTCAGATGGACGGAGCTGAGTTGGGGAAGAGGGGGGAGAGAAGAGAAGGGGGGGCAGGTAGAGGTGGGCAGGGTGGGTATCCCGGCTGTGTGGGGGTCCCCACAGGGGCCCACTCAGTCTGCTGGCCTCCTGCCCACCCCCAGCTCGGACCTCTGCTGCACGGCCTGCGTGGGCTTCTACCACTGGGTGATGGTGGCGGTGACGGGCGGTGTGGGCGTGGCTGCCACCCTGGTCCTCTGCAGCCTCCTCCTCTGGCCCATCCGCCTGCGAAGCTGTGAGTCACCCTCCCCATCATGGGTCCTCCAGGTGGAGGGCTGGGACGGGCCCCAGCCTCACTCACTCACTCACCCACCCACCCACCCCCTTCTTTTGCAGGGAACCCTGGAACCCAGTAGTGACACTCCCGCTGCCTGCCGGCAGTGTGCTTCCATGCACAAGTAACCACGTTCATGCAAACTGTGTCTAGAGGGGGCTTCCAGGAGGGCCCTCCCCCATCTGACTGTCACCTCAGGCCCCAGCCTCCCACCCTTACTTGGCCCTGGGCTTGGGGATGGCAGAATTGGGGAGACTCTGGTGGCTTGTCCCTGTCGGGTGGGGACACCTAGTCAGGCTTCTGATACCCAGCAGCCTGTGGGCATCCAGGGTTGAGGGGATCCCTGCCCCCTTCTCTGACCCCTTCTCAGCTCTCTGGTTTGGGTGCCCTTCCTCTCCCAGGATCATGCAGGTCAGGAGGGGAGGACCCCCGAGGAGGTCGGGGGTTGCCTGGGGCCTGCCCAGGTCTCACCCCTTCCTTCCTGCCCGGCTGGGGTCTCCCTGCCTCCTACTGGCCGGTCCCCCTCCCTGACGGCGTTGTCAAAGGAGCCTGCCAGGAGATCCATGGCAGGGTCGCGGGCTGGCCTGGACCCCGGCCGTGACGGGCAGCAGGACTGCCCAGTCGTCTGGAGGGCCCACTAGGGCACGAGGACTCTGAGACAGTGAATAAACAGTGCCCCCAGTGGGTCAGGACTGTGGCCTCAGCTCTTGTCTACCAGGGATGGGGTGCGACGACCCTGGGCATCCTGGCCTCCTCCCAGAGGCTCTGTCTCCCCGGCCTTTCCTTCCCTGAGACTTGTGACTCCTTTCCCTCCTGACACCCCACCCCCCAGAAACCCCAACTCACTTGCCTTCAAGTTGACTCCCACTCATGGCGACCTGAGTGTGTCGGAGTAGAACCGTGCTCCACAGGGTATCCAATGGCTGAGTTTTCTGGAAGTAGATTGCCAGGTCTTTCTTCCTAGGTGCCTCTGGGTGGACTTGGAGCTCTAGCCTTCTGGTTAGAAGCCGAATGTGTGAACCGTTGGTGCCACCCAGGGGCTGCCCCAGTGCCCCACCTGTCCCCAAAGTGGAGAGAGAGCCCAGCCGAGGGCAGGGAGACAGAGGGCGAGTGGTGGCCGACGGCGGTGGGAGGCGCGGGCAGCAGGCAGCATGGCCTTTATCAGTACGTGGGTGTGTAGGTTGGGGGGCGCTGGTTGGATGAGGGGCAGTAGGGCTCCAGGTTCCACTGCTGGTAGTTCTGGGTTGTATATCTCGGGCGTTGGGGTGGGGACAGGTACGGCACGTAGTCGGACACCCGCGACGGTGGCTCCACCCCATATCTGTTCCTGTTAACCACTGTGGGGCCAAGGATTGGGGTCACCTCATGTCCCAGCTACGTCCCTGGGGACAGGTTCTGGGAGCCCCTTTGAGACCAGAACCTCCCAGGCAGTCCCCCCTAGGTGGCCTTGTCTCCCCCTGCCCCAGCTTCCGCCAAAGGGTAAATTTGTTCCCAGCCCAGAGAGCTGCTCAAGGTGGGGCAGGCCGGAGGGCTTCCTGGAAGAGAAGGCCGCTGGGTCTTAGAGGATGCAGAGGCTGGACAGGACTCAGGGCCCCGCCTCACCGTACTCCTTCCCCTGGATGGGTCTGTCTTTCCACAGCAGGCTCCCCCACCGGGTGCTGGGCATCTTGTACTGGGCGGGGATGGTGGGGTCGTACCACGAGGCCTCCCGCAGGCGCTGGATGTAGGCTGCAGGTCGTGGGAGTGGAGGAGGTGGCGGTCATTTCGGCTCTATCCCCCTTCCCCAGTAGCCCGCAGGCCAGAAGGTTTGGGGGCTGCGGGGGAGCCCTTGCGCCGTGTCCCGGGAACCAGGGTGGCACTCACCTGAGGGCAGGCCGTGCTCCCGGTGGCTGTGGCATCTGTGCCAGTGTGTGTAGGCGGCACGGTGGCCACTGTCCCGCTCACGTGGCAGCGTGTACCAGGCATCGCGGGGGTCCGAGTTAGTCAGGCCCGTGTACCACAGCTGGCCGGCTGCGTCCCGGCCCATGGGTGAGTACTTCCATCGCGTTGCCTGCTTGATGGCTGGTGCCCAACGGGGGCCCTCCAGGGACAGGTACTCATCGCTGGGGGCCGGGTGGGGTGGCGGTGAGCCTGCGGCCGGGCCCTGTGCCTGCCCAGCTTGGCCTGCCCAGCTCTAGAGTGGGTGCATCTGCCTTTACAACGGGTGGGTGCGTGGCTGGTGGGTGTGGGCTCCGTGCCTTCCTCCAACCCTACCCCCTAGCTGGCAGACAAGTGGGAGACCCCTCATAACCCCTCCCCCTGCTGCCACAGCCCCCTCACGACCCCCGCTGCACCTTTAAGCTTTTTCTGTGTGTGCCTCTCTCCTGGGACACCGGGGGTGGGGGTGGGGGGCATGAGGTGCTGGCCACTTCCCGGGTCCTATGTCCTCATCCAGCTTCAACTTCCTCAGAGACGCAAAGATCGCTTCCTCCAGGAAGCCCTCCAGCCTGCCCCAGGCCTAGAGGTGTGCACAGGGAGGAAGTGGTCCCTGGCTGGGGTGAGGGAGGGGCTTGGGGGGCTTAGGGAGTGTCCAGGTTTTAGCCTGGCCCAAGAGGCATGGATTGGGGATGTGGAAAACGTGTGGGGTGCCCAGGCCCCTGGGAAGACCCTCTGGGCAGCCTGTGCCTTCACCAGGGGCCAGTGGGAGGGAGGAGGTGCGGTCCTGTCAGCTTCCTTCTGGGACCTCTCATTTAAGGGCGATACTAACTTAACTCCACAGCCAGTGCCTGGCCGGGGATGGCTGAGAAGGCTGGAAGGGCTTCCTGGAGGAGGAGCCACAGCCTGAAGATGAGGATGTGCAGAGGCCCTGGGGCAGGAGGGGGTGGTTTAAGGAACAGAGAGACTCAAGGCCACGAGGCAGCAGTGCAGAGAGGGAAGTGGAAATAAGCTAAGGATGTCAACAATCAAAGCTCAGAGCAGGTGCCATTAAAACAAATACAGGGAAGTGGAAAAGCCCAAAGCTGAGGAAGCTTCAGGGAAACATGCTTCAGCGGAAACCTCAAAGGCCGGCCCTTGGAGGATGCGGCTGAGGGGCACACGCTCAAGACACAGGTGTTCTCAGTGGGAGGCCTTCCATGGTACGTGCTGTGCGGCCGCCACCACCATCCACTTGCAGATGTTCTCATCGCCCCAGACAAACTCAGTACCCGTTAGGCAGTGACTCCCAGCCCCTGATAATCGACAGCCTACTTCGCCTCATCTGGACATTTCACATGAACAGGATCATGTGGCTTCTGTCCTTTCCTGTCTGACAACCTGCTAGCATCACGTTTCTGGAGTTCACCCCTGGGGTGGCGTGTATCAGAACTCCATTCCTGTGGACGGCTGGGTGGCAGTCCACCGTGTGGACGGACCACATTGTTTATCCCTCATCCGTGGACAGGCGCATGGGTGGTTCTCACTGTTGGTCTACTGTGAACAGTGCTGCCGTGAACGCTGGTGTACGGGTGTCTGTCTGCTAGTGAGCAGGTGGGACAGGTGGGCAGAGACCCAGGGAGCAGCCAGGTTTGGGTTAGATGGCCTTTTACACCCAGTAAGTGGCTTTCACAAGAAGCCGGACCGAGCCCCAGGAGGGGGTGAGATTTGGGGTGAGGGTCCACATCTTCGGGGATGGGGCCTCACCTGTACAGCGGCACAGGGAAGTCGGTTTCCAGGGTCCCCCGGGGGACATAGGGCCGGGCAGCCTGCCGCCTCAGGGTCTCCATGTCTGCCTTTGCTCTCTGGCAGCTCCTGCTGGGAAGGGTGCTGGGGCCATTGTTGACAGCAACAAAGGTCACCCGTGTGTCCTGGCAACAGGGTGGCTGGCCTGGCCCTGACTGCCCCTCCCCCCCAGCTGGGGGTGTCAGCAGAGGGCAGACGCTGGAGGGAAGGGGGCCTCCTGGGAGGCATACGGTCACTTCAGATATTTGACATTTGGGTGTGGATGTGGTTGGGGACAGTGGGGTCGGGGGAGTGACCATCTGCCGAAAGGTACTGCCTGCTCGGTCCCCGCCCACCCCTGACCGGGGCTCAGCCCTCTGCCTCTTGTCCCAGCATCCTCTCGACTTTCGAAGGGGTGTTGGGGGGGTGGCTTGTCAGCCAAATCGAAGCTTCTGGATTTCCTCTCCCATGTCCTCCCCACCCCCAGGGGAAACCAATCCATCCTGCCAGGGGCTCACGCTGGAAACCTGGTGCCCTGACCCCTCTCCTCACCCCACCCCTACCCAGTCCATCGTCTCGGGCTCCAAAAAGACACCCAGAAGAAACGCTGGGGCCCGCGTGTCCACAGCAACGGTCACAAGAGCCGACAGGTGTGAACCGCCCACGTGGATGACGGATGAGCCCAGCGTGGTCCACGCGCCACGAGGGAATACTACTCAGCCACGAAGAGAGATGGAGTCCCGATGCACGCTGGGACACGCGTGAAGCTGGACGCTGCGGTGCTCACTGACGGCAGCCGGCACAGGCCACGTGCTGGGCAGTCCCCTTGGTGTGAAACACCTAGAGGCAGAGCCGCTGAGACCGAACTTCACTGGTGCTTCCAGGGCCCGGGAGGGCCGTGATCACTGCTGATGGGCACGGTCTCCTTCTGGGGTGATGAGAATCTTCTGGAACTAGGTAGAGGTGGTGGCTCTACATCGTGAAGGCACTAAATGTCACTAATTGTACACTTTAAAATGGTTAAGTAAATTTTGTTATGTATATTTTACTGCAATTAAAAAACATGAGAAACCCAAAACATCCAACCACTTTCCACCACCTGCCCCAGTCCTGGCAACAGTCATGTTATTGCCCCCAGCCTTCCCTCTGGTGTCTCCTTGTGGTCTGGTCCCCATATGGCAGGTCCCATCCCCTCCCCTCTCAGCACACACCCGGGGCTCCCATCTCCCTCGGGTAAAAGCTGAAGTCCTCCCTGTGGCCCACAGGGCCCTGCACAACCTGCCTGTCCCCTCCCTGCCCTCCCCTCCTCTTCTCTCCCCCTTGCTCACTCCGCTCCAGCCACACGGGCCTCCTCGCTGTTCCTCCAACTCCCCAGGCCCGGTGCTGCCCCAGGGCCTTGGCACGGGCTGCTCCCTCTGCCTGGAGCAGCACCTCTTGCCCAGGGGTCTCCCTGATCTTCAGGCCGACCCTTGGACATCAAAGTGCCCTCTTCCCCACTTCCCTCCAGAGTGACACGCTTCTCACGGACCTCGTTTATCGCCGACTTGTCCATGGCCACAAGCTCACGCAGGGTAGGGCCTGGGTCTGCTGTTACCGCGCTCGGCAGTGTCACCTGGGGGAAAGGGCCTGGGCTGCCCCTCTTCTCGGTCATGGCCAAACAGTGAACCCCCAGACCCACTGCGCCGGCCCCGCCCCCACCCTGCACCGCAGCCCCAGCCGCCCCCTGCAGCCCCTCGGCGCCTCCTTGCTCCCCATGGCCACGTCCAAACCATCACTCTACTCTTCTTACGCACCAGCTCCGACTTGGCCCCGCCCCCCTCCATTGGCTCCAGCCCTTGCTGTGGACTCCAGGGACTCGGTCATCCCATCTCACGCCTGTCCTGGCCCACCGTGCCTCCCCCCTCACTGTGCCTCCCCCACTGCTGCCCCCCTCACTGTGCCTGCCCGCACTGCTGCCCCCACCGTGCCTCCCCCCTCACTGTGCCTCCCCCACTGCTGCCCCCCTCACTGTGCCTGCCCGCACTGCTGCCCCCACCGTACCTCCCCCACACTGTGCCTCCCCCACTGCTGC